TATGCTCTTCTCTTTAGTTTTTCCTTATTCGGGTTTTGTTTGTATCAATTGGGTTTTCTATTCTTCTTTTTTGTTGACTATGATCATTCTTGTGTTTTGTATTAAAATGTGGATTGTTTTGAAATTGTTCTTTAGGATCTCAGAGGCTAATGCAGAAAATTTGACACTCATTTGTCAACTCGAATTTGTTACACTTCTAATCCATTGAAAGAGTGCATTCTTACAACTTYYABRTCACCGACACAACAAACATAATTAACCACCAGTATAATGGGYATATYTCTCTCYGCCGCTAGCTMGACACAKTTGCTTTTGTTCTATTRTCGYTGTTCAGAGTCGCATGTGTTTTATGTTATAAATGTTTTGGAGTTGTTTGGCTATAAATATGTGTTTGAAGAAGAATAACATGGCGAGAAACAAAATCGGTACCTGACAAAAAAAAATTCTCGATTGTTCAGAGAGAAGTGTGAAAGCTTTTATGAAATCTTTTATTCTTCGTTTACTGTTTTAAAAGGTCAAAGTTTGTGATTTTTGTGGATTTGGGTTTGTATTTTATAGTCTTGGTGTTAATCAATTAATTCAAAGTTAAGACTCTTGAAAATTTCTCTTTTAGAAAACATAAAAAATCAAATTGTACGTACAACGTAATAATACATAACTGTTAGGTTTTATTTTTCTTGGTAAGTAGTTGTCTTTTAATATTGTTAAATAATGTTTGTGCAACAAAATGTAATGTAGTTGAAATAGCATTTGTAAAGTTTGGATATTTATGGGTGATCGGTCTAAAGCCCATACGAAATATAGATGAAAACTCTGATAACAAATTATCTTTTTTACGAACCACATGAAGAAGTTAGAGCAATTCTTATTAAGTTTTCTTGCAACAAATCTCTCCTAAGACTGAACAAACTTCGAAGAAAGCTTTGCTGGAAATTCCCAAGAAAACTTGGTAGCCAAACCTTCAGCTATAACCCCAACATCGAGTTTCACCTTCTACTCCCGGCGGTGAGGTCGTTCTCATGGCCCCATGGCTTCCACGGATGATTTCCCACTGACAGAAATAAATAAATTGTTACGGACGAAATCATATAATCTTACTCTTACGTCCTAAAAGTGTCATTATGTTGAGTTTGAGTAACAAAACTTTGACTTTTGCGTTTTATGATTCTGATTGAGTTATCTCACATCACTAAGTCTCAACAAATAAAAAATAACAAAAGATAAAAGTATTGTTTTAAAGAAAAGCGAKGAGAATGGATTTTCAAACGAGAGATTCTTAGAACTTTTTATTAGAAGTCTTTTAACATGGRAARCATGTCTTTTTCTWAGTGYCTYAGGTTTTTAYTAAAAMAAATCAAATACACARTAGTATAAAATAGTAATYAAATAATTTATATGTAGTTAGTTTTTTTATATTTTATAAAATAAAATTGTGTATTATCAAGCTCTATTATGCAAAAGTTTAAATTATACTTCAAATCATATTTCTTAAAATTAATGTTTGTGCCAATTAAGATTTTCAACTGTGAGAACAATAGAGTATGTTTTTTTCTCGGAGTGTCCCTAACAGACTAGGCTAACTTTATAATCATATGCCGTCAAAGTAAACACCAACCACTCTAGGRAAGATATGGACGATGTGACTAGACAAAAAGTATTGGCCGAGTGTGTCATTCTTCTATAAATACTCATAAAAAATAAAAAAGACAAGAAGAGAATATTCGAGGGAGAAAAGGGAGACGAACACAAGAATCAGAATG